CTGACCCACCCGCTGCTCCCCTCAGCACTGTACCCCGTCGATCTGCCTGTTCTGCGTCCCACTCTGTCTCTGGTGAAGCCTCTCGCGGCCCCTGAGCCTCTGGCCTGTACCCCAGCTCTGTATGCACAAATAAATAAATCTTTTTTTTTTTTTTAAATCTGTTCTTGTTTTTGTGTAACAATTAACATGATACTCTCCCCTCCCAAATTAATTGAATTGTTGCTGGGGTCTGGACATTCAGAGGCAGCTGCAAGTGGCAGACACTAAGATACTTATTCAATGAAAAATGTATATACTTCCAGCACATGCAACTTTCTCCCTTTCTCAGGGCGTAGGCTGTGTGTGTGTGTGTGTGTGTGTGTGTGTGTACACAGGCAGCTTGCGAGGTCTAAGTGAATCACTGCCCTACACCACAGAACAGTGGGCTCCCCGGGGAGGACAAGCATCCTAGAGCCCTGCCCAGGTGTCTGCGATCTGCAAGTGTGGAACCTTACATATACTATGTTGTGCCTATGATAGTTTAATTTATAAATTAAGCACAGTGACAGATTAGCAGTAACTCCTAATAAAATAGAACAACTGTAGCAATATGCTGTAATAAAAGTTACCGGAAAGTGGTCTCTTCACGTCGTACTGTACAGTTTTCGGACGGTGGTGGTTGACTGACGGGAACTGAAACCCGTGAAGCGAAACCACGCGCCGCTAAGCGCGGCTGCAATGATGTAGCCCGGAGCTGGGGTGACGCAGGTTAGCTCACCCCTAGGAGAGGCGCGGCTGCGGCAGCTACCCCCTGGGCCCGATCCCACTGCGCTCTGCTGTCGTGGGTGGCTTCGGGCCACTCATTCCTCTTCTGACGCCGGTTTCCTCCTGGTTTAAAAGGGGGTGGCGGGAGTGCCGGCTTCGGAGGGCTGGGGTCCGGCAAACGTGGACTCTCTATTGGGCACTCACAAGGCGTGACAGAACAGTTTCCATTCGGTCCACTCCCTCAGTCTAACTTGAGGGGTGTGTCTGGTAGGTCGTGGGCTTCTTAGGGGGTGCAACGGTCGAACTCTGGTAACTTATTAGGAAAGTAGTCGTGGAGGGAAACAGGCCTGAGAAGAAAGACGCCTACTCCCGAGTCCCACTCACTGCTGGAAACAGCACGCGGAGCCAGCTGGCCACCGGCCTGGCGCTGGGTGGGGCCAAAGCCTTGGCTCTCAATTCTTTAACATGGGCCCTCTGTACTGCAGCATCGGATGCCAAGGTTACAGGCGCCGGTTTTCCACTGCTGTATTCCTGGTGGATGTTTTTCCTCCAGGGGAAAAAAATAGTTTTAAGTGAACGCAAATAGCCACACAGAATCTACTGTTATTTCAGCAGTTAAACTTTTTTGAATTATGCAAGAAAATGCCACTTGGTTGGTTGGATAAAATTTTTTTTGTAGGTGACTCACCAAGAGAGTTGCCTGTATATACATTACAGCTAAAGGGATGTGCTTATGTTTGAATTTAAACATAATCTTAAAAGTGGGAATGAGGATGGTTTCAAGTTACTTAAAAAAATTGAATGGGAAGGCATGCAGAAGAAATTAATTGTCGTTTCTAGATTTATCCAGACATTAAATAACACATTTCAGTATTGACTCCTACTTTTCCAGTGTGATATTTAACTTGAATAAAAAAATGATTTAATTCAATTCGCTGATGGAGTTCTAATGTGTAACAATTAAACTTCATAGTGCTTGGACAGTGCTCTGGTTTCTTTTTCAAAAGCAAAAGCATGGAAAGCTTGCAAAACTTAGGGTACAGTATTTCAGCCATGTATTCCTCACATAGTTTTCCAATAGCCTGAAGTACTGTTTGAATTTCCAGAATGTAATGCCCATAATCAAAGGCAAAGGCATCTCAAATAAAAATAGGCTATTTTAGGACCACCTGGTAATTTAGAATTTCCATATTATTTGTTCTAACGGATGTCCCAAATTTGGAATAGACACAGTATCTTGAAATTTCAGAAAAATTATTATTATGTTGGACTGGGTATCTGTAATTTAAAAATTTTTACTTTAATGATAAGTAAACATAAAATACACTAGGAAGATTTAAGTAGTATTTATACCCAGATCCCATCTGCCCAATATTCTTACATCCCTAGGTATATGTATTTTTAAAAATCTCCACAACTATTCTAATATGCAGCCAAAGTTGAGAACCCCTGATCTAGGCAGAAATGTTGCTCCATTTTTACCCCCTTGTGGCTAAATAAAAAGAAATTATTCTCTAAGGAATTAGGTAGTTGTAATAACTACCTAATTACAACAAGGAATTAAAAGACTTTCCCACTGGGAAAGCCAAGAAACTATAGGATGGATTTGTATATCTAAAAATCCAAAAGAAAAAAGCAATGCAGAATAAATTCTTAAATTGTAATCTACAAGCTATATTCAATGTAATTTTTGCATTGAATCTAATCAAATGATCTAATCAAATCCAAAAGTAAAGTGGTGTCTGACATTACTTTGGCCATTGGTTTTCTATGTGAAGGCTATTGTTTTTGCTGACATGAGAAAACAAAACGGAATAAGGAAAAGTGTTTATCAAACTATTTAAGTGTGTGCCTTTAAAAATGTCCCTTGGCTTCTTTTGTGTGTTGTTTATTTATTATTACAGTGTTTGACTTTTTGTTGGAATTCTAAGTTTTATAGGAAGAAGGTTGATATGTTAGAAATGAAGTTTATAGATTTCTGTGGATTTCATGTAGTCATTAGCATGAATAGTTAGGGAGCTACTGTATAATAAAATATTAATTATACTTCACAATATATAAAATAGCTATAAAATTGCCATTTCTTTGATACCCTGAATTTTTATCATTGAAACTCTTATAACTAAAGTCACATCCTTTACATGACATAAATTTATTTGTATAGGATTTATCCACATACAATGATGTCCACTTTAAAACAACTGACCATTACTTGTAAAAAATCATCTTATAAAATAGTGACATATAACACATATTAGTAAATGAAACTAATATTCTAGGAGTCAGAAAATAATTCTAATTCCTGTTTTTGCCATTCTTTCTCTAGGTGGTAGGCAGGTTGCTTTACTGTTCTGTGCTTTACTTTTCATATGGGATAACTGTCTTATTTCATAGATAATAAGAACAAAAATCTTTTAAATATTTGCAAATATAAAATGCTGTAGAAATGATAAATAGTAATACTGATCTATTCTAGTATAAAATAACATAGAACTTTGCATTTATAACCTAAAGTTTGGTCCTCTAGTACCTATTATTACCCTTCCCAATTAAACTTACCTTATGCTTTACTATTTCTAGTGATTTTTCCATAGCATTAACTTTATGTAGATATGCACATACATATATAAAACGTGCACAGATATTTCAATATATCTAAGCATGACTTGGTAAAATAACGCATAAGTAATTGAAACACTGAGATTTTTTCATCCATTGAGCACATAAAAGCATAACTTGATTTCATTACACAAAAATACAATATTGAAAAATTTCTTCTTGAAAATCCTATGGTAACTACAGAATATTGTATATTAAAGATATGATTTGCTGTTCTAAGCAACCCTTTGCCTGCCTGCTTACAGCTCAGTGAGAAACATGTGTAATGAAGGAATACCCAAAAGTAATTCAAGTTCCAAGGTTTTCAAGGCTGAACTAGTTTTGCAGAGATATCTGGGGATGTTTCATATGGGGGTTTTAACCAGAATAATTCTGATTTTAGAGTTTGGGCTTAAATGTTGGGCTTCTCTATGAAATAGTTCATTTCAAGAAAGGTTTCTTGGGTAAAAAAATAAAGATCTTTTAAACTGCTGATCTAATTCATTTTGCTTCCTGCAGATGCTAGGCTGGATTGCAGTGGGGCTTTATTTCTGTAAGACTACATCCCATCAGATACCCTTGAGGACCAGAGAGACAAGGGTGTGCAGAGTCTGATAAAAAAAATCCCTGTTAGAACAAATTTTGGTGTAACCCACCCCCATTACCTACCTAATATTAAAAAAAAAAAATCCTTGGCATAAATCTTATTTTAACAGATTATACCCCTATGTAACATTTTCCCACATTTGAAAGTCAAAGAATTCCATTTTCTCAGAAACCATTAAGTTTCACTCCAGAAAAAAAATGGTCTTTAAAATCATACACACACACACACACACACACACACACACACACACACACACATATAAAATATATAGTAAGTGGAATTATTTACAACTTACAAACATATCATGATCTTTTTCCTGATACTAAAATGATCGAACAGATGAGCTGTCCTGGGTTGGTAAGTTTGATAGCTGCATTGTGTTTGTTTGCCTGATATTTGTTATAAAAAATCACGAGGAAGCATTATTTCCAAAAGAATTACTGAACAAGTGCTAGGGGCACAGTGTTCAGTGGACTTTGCACATTCATGCTGATGTCTGTAAAGTTCGCATGCAGAGAAGAAAGCATAAAAGATTCAGATCATAAAGTGTATTAGACAATACACATGCAAGCAACTACTTCATGAACTCCTATGAACAAAACTCAAATCACTCATTTCCCCTATCGGCCCCAACAACTAAAACTTCTAAGTTTGATCCATCATCTGGATACCACTTATTTGTTAAGACTCCCCATACAGGAAGGTCAGTTTGGGACAGGGATCAAGCTGATATACTTCATCATCCAGCCTTGAAGCAACTGGAAATTTCAAGGGAATCTTGAAAAAGTTTAAGAATTAAGTACCATAAAACAAAGGTTTCAGTGATTTGTAAGAAACTATTTTTTATAAATTAATCATTGTAACCCGCAAATTGGCATCAAAGACAATCATTAAAGAACAAAGATGATAACAAAAAGTATCATGTTGAGGTATCAAAGTTAAATGACATAAAGCTTAATTGTGCTAATTCACAAAGACCTCTGTGAAGTTCAGTTCTTTATTTTTGATGTTTAGAGTTTATCTTTAGGACTAAAATAATGCCTCTCCAATTTAACTGTAATTTTGGAATGTTTCATAATCTCTAAGGGGGAGGAGTTTAACGTTATATCCTAGGAAAAAAGGTCAGTGCGAAAAATTATATAAACAAAGAAAACAAAACTGCTTACAGTATTTAAGAGAATAACTTGTTCAAATACTTTTGTATATAAAATTAACATATAAATGACATACAAACAGGTCACACTGTTGGGATATCACTCAGCACTACTTGCATAAATCTAGTTCAAGATATTGTATATTGTTGAAGATGATTAAATTCCCTGCCTCATACTTTCGAATTCTGATAGGCTTATTTTTGTAATTATTCAGATTGGTGATGTTTGTCTTAAAATTCTTTGCCAATTCAGGAGACCTACAAGGACAGACAGTTCCAAAAGGACTGTTTAAAATAAAACCTGTTCAGTCACCAGTCTCACTACCTTAAGTTCTGACCTTAATTGTCTCATCTGTTAATCAGAGGCAATATCCACCTTGCTGATTGAGAAAATGTGGGACATGTCAGTACATAAATGTCAGAATTATTCTTAAGAACTGGTAGAACCTCCAGTTTTGTTTTTTTCTCTTTAGAGAGTAAGAGAACTTACTGACAGATTCTCTTCACACACTACCTTAACTTTTAAGCATTAACACCTTCCTTGCCATAGGAAAACGATCTGTATATAATCTCTGGTCAGCCTCTACTTTCAGCTTTTGTTTTTGAAAATACTACCTAGGTAAGAGTAATTTTAAGTTTAATGAGAAATTTTCAAATATGAAAGATTTTAGATATTTTCAACTAGTCTTCTGCCATAATCCTAAAATATTTAGGATATCTGAATGATGATAGGTTGTTTTAGGTCTTAATACAAAGATTTACTGGTTCAGTAAGGTGCACTGCCAAACCCCTAAATGTCTCTTACCTGGTTCCTTGCAAAAATAGAGTATTGGTAGTTTATATATTTTAGAAATACCTTGAAATTAGCTTACGTAAAACTCGGTTGTGGTAATTTTATTTAAAATATTTCCTTTGGATAAAAGATTGCTAAGTAGATATTCCAAGATTAAGAGAAAAAAGGTTTCTGTAATAAAAGCAAGAGGATTAATTAGTCCATCATGCCAACTCAGGCTAGGTCTTTCCAGTGCAGCAACATATTTTAGGGCAACAGAGTTCAGAATGGATACAGTGGCCTGTTCAGGAAGCATGCAAGTTATGTCAGATCATCGTTCTCACACAGTCTGATAAATGTGTTAACCAGGCTCTGGCTGTGGAAAGAGAGAGCTAGAGGAAGTCAACGGAGGTTGCACGCATGCCAGCTCTGTTGGGTTATAAGACAGCTACCTAATGTTGGGCTTTATTTCCTTTTCTTCTTCTTCTTCACTATCATCAACCTGTTGGATAACCAGATCAGCAGACCCGTCCTCTACGATCTCCACGTATGATCTATTCTCATCTTCACTCAGGTGCCATTTGGAATCTTTTTCACCATCTGATGGGGACCTAAGATGCTGTTCAGCTTCCAAGTCAATGGGGAGGCTGTCTATGCCAACTTCAGCAAGGCACTCATTGCACAGTCTGTAGCGCCGGGTTCCTTCCTGCACCACTTGCCCAGTTAGATCAGTTACGTGGCGTTTGCATTTTCTGCAGATTAGTTTGCATGCTTGATGAATCTGTATAGAGATGTAAATGGTGATTAAAAAGGATTTTTCAAAAGCAGGACAGTCTCTGCTATTTAAGGTAGTAGTTCCTAACTTGAGGTTCAAAATCAAATATTAATATTAAATTAACATTTAATAGATGATTAAATTATTAGAAAAATGATCGAGGTTTTGTTAAAATTTAACATCACAAAAGTTTTAAACAGTTCTTCTCTAAATAATAGTTGTAATGTTTTTATAGTTAATACTACATATTTAGTAGTATTAACATAATTAACATAATAATTGTACATATCCCAGACCCTCCCTGGTGGCACAGGGGGTTAAAGCACAGCACTAAGAAGCTAAAACCACTTCAGTATGAGTTCGATCCCCACCCTGGAGGTGACCCACATGGAATGGCAGACCTCTCCTGACCTGCCCGCTGCTCCCTTCAGCAGTGTACTTCATCAGTAGGCCTGTTCTGCTCCCCACTTTGTCTCTGGTGAATCCTCTCACTGCTCTGCACCTCTAGCCTGTACCCCAAATCTCTATGCATAAATGAATCTTAAAAAAAAATTGCACATATCACTGAATCCAGTAATATTTTGATATCTGAGTAGCACTTACTATATGTACTATTTTAAGGACTTTGAGAGAAAAAGACCTCTTTTGTTTCATGAAAAAATAAATTATACTCATAAGTTATATGTACATAACTCAACTTTTATTATTTTGCTAGAGAAAGAAAAAATATTGCCCCAAATCTGTCAAAATAATTTTGGGTAGGATTACTGGCTATCATTATTAATGAAAGACATAGTATAAACAGGACTGGATTAGTCACTGAAAGCTTAGATTCTGACTCTGGTTTTTCATTTACTAGCCTTGTCATTTATTAATCATGTATTTTGAAACAAGTAATTTAAAACATTATAAATTTGCTTCCAGGTGATAGCCAAAATAGTAAATAGCTGGTGATATATGGGTACGCCCCAGACAGAGCAGAAGCCTGACTGGTCAGAATGGACACTGGTCTGGACACTCACAGTGGTGGCTCTATGAGCCTGCTGAGCTCCCCAAGCGCCTCCTTCTGAGCTCCCCAAGCGCCTCCTTCTTACTCTTGAAGCTTTGCTCAATGGCTAGTAGAGCAGTGGATTATAGGTTTTAATCTAAAAATTATTTTAGTTCAATATTCCAGGAATATTGAAACCTTAACCTTATTCTTTTGCAGAAATAAAGCAGTTATTCTAATTTTAGTACATGCTAAATACCTTATTAAAATTATTATAATTAATGTATATTGAATTCATGTTTACTCATTTATCTAAAGTCAGAACAGTAGAGAAGTAGGTCAGAAAACACACACAGACAAAATATCCAAGCAAAAAATTTAGTCTAGTAAGGTATTTAAGAAAATGTATGGTAGTCAATACACTTGTTATCTTCTGCTAGCCACTGATATATTAATTAGTGAATATTGAAAGTGTACAATTTGAGTGTACACTTATTTCCTTCAGAAAATAACATTACAGGTCTCAAATATAGTACTGTTTCATTACAAAGTTTGGCACAAATTCATGTTTATCCTTTTCAATTCTGATATAATTGTAAAGTCAAAGAAATGCAGATATAATGTTAAAATTAAAAATATATCATATTATTTTAAAATATAGATGTGTCTCCCAATGTAACACAATACTATATATATGTAATTATTATAAATGATTATAAATATATAAAAATCATTATATACATGATAAAATTATAGCTATACATATAGCTATAATTTTGCCCTTGATGTTCTAGGTGAGTGTATTTAACTTGAATCTGGTAAATCTTCAGATAAAACTGTCAGTTCATAAAAAAGCAGGGAGGATAGAGGAACAAGTTAAATGACACCATGTAGAACTAAGCAGAGGTAGGATGCTTTGTAAAACAATGGACTCAGTATCTTCAGTACACTAGAGTTAGGGAAAGAGGGGGAGGGAGTTCTACGTGAGTTTAAAAACCTATTCAAGGGATCTAACTAAAATGATAGTATACCTGGCCCTGAATTGGATTCTGACTTGGACAGACTGGCTATAAAGGGCATTTGGGAAATGGGGGTGGGGGGGAGGAATTTAAAATTGAACTGAGTGTTAGATAAAAATTAACTGAGATGGGGCCCTCCCTGGTGACACAACAGGTTAAGCACAACACTATGAAGCCAGCTGCAGCCACTTTAGCACAAGTTCCATCCCAGGCCAGGGAGGTGACCCACATGGCGTGGCAGACATCTCCTGACCTGCCCACAGTGTACTTTGTCAATCTGTCTGTTCTGCTGCCTGCTCTGTCTCTAGTGAATCCTCTCACCACCTCTGGCATGTACTCCCTTTCTGTATGCATAAATAAATAAATCTTTTTTTAAAAATTAGCTGAGATGTAGAAGTAAGACGTTGTTCACTAAAGAAATTAGGTTACAAACAACATGTATAGTATGATCTCGTTATGGTAAAAAGAACAAAAGCCAAACATATATACACATAATATAGTACTAAGAATGGTAAGATGAGGGTGGTAAAAATAAGGCATTTTTATTTTTAAATTTTTACATCTAACTTTTTTACTTTTCATAATGCATGATTATTGCTGTTATAATAATAAAGGGTTGTTTTAATTCTAGTTTCATAAGCTTAATGAAGGCAGAGACTTTATCTGTTTTGCTCACTACTTAATATCTAGTAATTCAAAAAGGCACAGAGTAGGTTCACTATATATTTGTTGAATAAACTACACAGCAACGTCAAAAGAAATCACCTAAGTGATTCAATGTCCTTGAAAATTAAAAGGAGCTCTTGTAAATGGACTAGAAGTATGAGTAATACTTCTAGATTTTGGAAAAAAATCCTTGCTCTACGGTGAATAGCAGGAAAATTCTAATGTCACTATCTTATTAAACCACCAGAGCACCGAACGGCAACTTCTCCCTCGGTGAAGTCCTTGATTGAGACTGGCCTGGTTACTAAGCTTTTCCCCTTCCTTGAGAAGAGTAAAGAGAAGCTAGAGACTAGGAAAGGGTTGTAGTAGAGAGAAGTCAGACAGCAGAAAACTAAACCGAGATGCTACCAGACCAGGTTTTAAGAAGCGCTAGTAAAAATAGGGGATCCAGGGCCCTCCCTGGTGGCGCAGCGGGTTAAAGCACTGCACTAAGAAGCTTAAGCCACTTCCACATGAGTTTGATTCCCGCCTGTCCCGGAGGTGACCACACGGTGCGTCAGACCTCTCCTGACCCGCCCGCTGCTCCCCTCAGCAGTGTACTTCGTCGATCTGCCTGTTCTGCTCCCCACTGTCTCTGGTGAATCCTCTCACCCTCCGCATCTCTGGCCTGTACCCCAGTTCTGTACGAATAAATAAATAAATCTTTAAATAAAAAAATAGAGGATCCAAAGTGGTGACTCAGACAAAGGCAGTTAAAGCAATTTTATAGTTTCCACTGTCTTTTGGTTCTGCAAAGACCAGCATATAAAAACTTATTCCATTTTTAGTGAACTAAAATGGGTATTCAAAATTTCTTACTTTCCGGTCTCAAAGGAGAATAAAAAATATATATATTATAAATGTATAAAATACACACTAAATTATGCATTATGTGCAAAAATCATTTAAGTGGGAACTATTTTTAATATGGAGGAGTGTGAAAGGATTTTTCTCAGTAAATTGGATGACGCCAAAGCAGATAAATACATACATTTCTTAAGAAGTAAAACAATGAAAAATCATATACGTACTGTTCGAAAATGGCTACTTAGATGGTCGAGTCTGCTAAATCTTTTCCCACAGGCTTGACATGGGTAGGGCCTTTCTCCTGTATGACAGCGAAGGTGGCGCTTCAGGTCTGCTTTCCGCTTCACCACATGTGGGCAGTATGGACATTTGAATCGCATCCTGGGCAGGTCATCTGTCAGGGAACAGTCTGATTAAATTACCAGAAAGTCATAATATCGATTTTGATAACTTAAGAATCCAAAAGGAGTTGATGCGCCCAGTCTTGGAAAGAGAAGAATAAAGGAGAAGATGAGATTGTCAATATCCTCCTATCTAGAAAACGTAACTTCAGTACTTGATGTATTGACAAAGTTTGAGTACATTTATAAAGTCTGTCACACTTATCTTTTTATTTCATGCTGTAGCTACTAGATTTTAAATATAAAAAACTATAGACAAACCCCAAAATAAAAATATTTATTTACTGCTTAAGCTTTTTTATTTATGCACACAAGAACTAAAGTACAGGCCAGAGGGGTGGGGAGTGAGAGGCTGTACCAGAGACAGAGTGGGGAGCAGAGCAGGAGGATCCACTGTTGAGGGGGGCAGCGGGCCAGGCAGGAGTGGTCTGCTACTCATGTGGGTCACCTCCCAGCTGGGATCAAACTTGTGCTGCAGTGGCTGTGGGTAGCTTCATAGTGCTGTGACTTAGCCACCAGGGAGGGCCCTATGTAAGCTTTTAAATAACACATTTTATTCACATTTTTATTCTCTTGCCTTTACTTTTCATATACTTGTATGATTTTTCTTTTAAAGGTGAAAAAATTTCAAGGATTTTTTTTGCTTTAAAACTCATGTGTATTCAAAATGTTAGCTATGAATCGAGGCAAACTTCATCAATTTAACTGCTAAATCTAGCTGTTCATTATCAAAGTTAGATTTAAATAACCAGAATTATAAATGTGCAAGGTCCTAATTTAAAAAAAGATCATGTTTATGCTGTTTTAAAATGCAACAAAGATTTCCCATTTTTGCTGTCACTTCTGTAAGGTTTGGTCATGATGACTTTAAGTAAGCTCTGTAATATACAATTTCATTTATTTCCAAGTTAATGTCCTATAGGAAAATGTGATTGAGTAAAAATCAATCAGGTTGCCGATTATTTTAAAATGTTATCTACAGACAACCACATCACCTTTCAAGATTTATATGACAAGCAGCAAAAGGGGACTACTGTCTGGTTACCGAGTAATATTAAATAGGACTTGTTCCTTTTGTTTAGGTACCATAATGGTATTCAGGGGTTTTTCAGACTATTTTAGGAACATATTCTTAGGGGTTTTTCAGACTATTTTAGGAACATATTCTTAAGTAGTTACAGATGAAAACATACCTGAGGTTTGTTTAAAAACGATGAAGGGAGGGCCCTCACTGGTGGTAGGATGGGTTAAACACTGCACTAAGAAGCTAAAGCCACTTCAGCATGAGTTCGATCCCTGCCCCGAGGTGACCCACATGGCACGGCAGACCTCTCCTGACCCGCCTTCTGCTCTCCTCAGCAGTGTACTTCATCAGTCTACCTGTTCACTCTGTCTCTGGTGAATCCTCTCACCACCCCGCACCTCAGGCCTGTACCCTAGTTCTATATGTACAAATAAATAAACCTTTAAAAAAATAAAAATGATAAAGGGGAGCGTTGGGGTAAAGGTAGAGATGAAACAAGATTGTTTCATTGAAAGCTGTAAGTTGAAAGCTGCTGGAATTAGGTAATGATGCATGGAGGTTAGCGCTACTAGTCTATTTTTGTATGTTTGAAATTTACCTACATTAAAAAATGCAAATGTATAATTTAAATTTACAACCCGCAGGATTTCCAGTTTATCAGAATTTTTCTTTAAATTTACATGTAAACTATAAAGCAAATTTGCTAACAGACTAAGGGGGGAGTAGGAACCAGAAGACACGCATTTCTTTTTTTTTAAGACACACATTTCTAATCTCTACTCTTTATTTCAATTCTATGGAAGTAAAGAGAGGGTTACTTTAAAGCTATCAGCCTATATGCTCTCTCTGCAGTTTACTACTATGGTAAAAATGAAGTGTGTCATGTTGCACATAGACTCATAGTATCAACATTATGGGTTGCAGTATGTTTAAAATTATGTATTTAAAATTCAGAGCTAGTCTTAACTTCCTTTAGACCTTGGATTTGTAAACCTATGCAACATGACTAGTTGCTCTCTTGACTTCTATGAGTAAAAACACTCCTCCTGAGTGGATACTCAGATAAATGTTTAAAGTGAAAATATGTGTCTCAGAGATTGAATCATTTAGAGAAGAGCTTTTACCACCTAACAGTAATCCTATCCCCTTTGTTTAGAAAAATCATAAATTTTGACCCTCATCAGAATTCCATTGTTTTGACTATTATTACGTTTACCTAATATTATCTTCAATTATGGTTCTTTTTTCTTGTATGTTTTATGAAACACATTTTATATTAAAGCTTGAGACTCTAAATCACTTAACTCTACTGCCTGTCACACCAAAATTAAGGGGATGTTGGGAAAGGATTCATCTATATGGAGTCTCAGAAGCTGACTGAGGGAACTGAGTCTCTTTTTGGGTACCTGGAAAACTTCTGGATATGACATCAGATCCTTGACTATACTGATAGCCAATAGGAGTAGAGTCCATTTCAGCATCGGTTTGTGCTTGTTCTTCTGACTGGGACATGTGGGTGGAAGAATCGGATGTCCGCGCTTCCCTTTTGCTTGACTTATAATGAGCAACTTCAGAAGGCTGTGACAATCTCAAATGTTTGGTCTTTTTAATGGAATCTTTCCTTTGTTCATGCTTGAGCAAAGCTTGTTGAGTATTCCTTTGGGAGGCTGGCTGGTAATTATACTTACTCCAAGATTTCCCACTTATTATACCTGTTCCTTGATCAGGGCTTAGGTGAGAATGTGGAGAACCGCTTTCTTCTTGCCAGCCACTGCTATAAAAAGAGGAACGTTCTATGCCGTTAGAATTGGCATCTTTATCAGATAGACTGAAATAGCGATCTTTTTCTTTCTCGCTAATGTCTAATGAAGATTTAATAAAGGTCTTACATACACTAATGACATCAGTCATCTGAAGGAAGCTAGCAGCTGACATCACTTCTATGACGTTCTGACCAGTTAGAGAGAGCTTGCCGGAGTAGACGAAGTCCAGGATGACAGTGAAGGTGTCGGGGGAGAAAGCCTGAAAGGTGGCTGTGGTGGGCTGGCTTGTCTCCTTTGAATTCTGGGAAAGCAGCATTTTAAAGTAGCCACTGCTAGCAAATAAGACATTTCGGTGTGCTTTGAAGATCTTGCCTTCGACCAGAATACTGCAGTCACAAAACACATCTTGCCGGCGCTGCTCATTCAGCTGCTGCAGGAGGTGAGACTGGTGAGAGGAGATCTCCATTCTGAAGAGGAAAGACACACGTGGTTACCACCAAGAGCGAGGTCACACTGCTTTTCCAAGAGGGGGTGACTAAAATCATAATGAGAGACTTGTGTTTCCATCAAAAACACTTCCTTCTTAGAGAAGAGCCTCTAAGCCACACAGTTGATACTTATCTGTCACTCAAAACTGCACACACCCTGTACTCCATCAGCATTAGTCACTAGAGGATCCAAATGAACTTATTATGTAAAAAGCTTATCATTTTAGTGAAATAAAACACCTCATGTCACAAGATGGCTGCTCCACCTCTGGTCTCAAGTCCCATTCCTGACAGGAAGAAGAGGAAAAGGCCAAAGGCAAAGCAGGGGAGGGAAGAACACAAGACAATGCAGTGACGGTTCACAGGTGATATGGCGGCAGGGGAACTATGGGGACTACAATGATAAAATAATTTTTAATTAATTTTAAAAAAAAAAAGGGTGTGTGTGATTAGCAGTCCAATTTAGTTTGCTTATGTCAGGGAAAAAAATAAACTTTCCTGGATGCCTCACTCAGGGGCTTAATCTGGGAACACAGTGGTAAGAAACCTGTCCCTGGTTTTTAAATGTGCCCTCCCCTGAATGGTGTATAGTAGTTTCCACTTCTTACCTATGTCAACACTTAGTATAACTAGTCTTAACGTTTTTGACAACCTTATGAATATGCAATGACACAGCATTGTTTTTATCTGTATGAACTGAACAACTTTTAATGTTTACTAACCATGATTCAGTGAGTTTCTGGCTCATTATGATGTTGCTAATTAACACTGTATAACAACTAACACAAAACCAATGTACAATAGTAAGTATTTATTTAGCTTACATACCTGTGGGTTGGCTCATCTAGGCTAGATTGCTGAAATAGCCTGGGCAAGATCCTGGAGTCAGCGGGACCTGGATGGGACAGCCTGTCTGGGTTGGTTGTGTTATTTATTACACAGTTTCCTCCTGGGGTCAGGGGTCTAGCCTACACAATTTCTTTTCATGACAATGGCAGAGGTACAAAAGACCAAGTAGAAATACACGAGGCCATTTAAGATTTAGGTCTCCCTGGTGGCGCAGCAGGTTGGAGCACTGCACTGCGAAGCTAAGCCAGGCTGTGGTTGTTTCTGCAAGTTCGATTCCCACCCCAGCGGTGACACACATGGCGCAGCAGCCCTCTCTCGTCTCGCCCGCTCCTACCGTCACCGCTACTCCCCTCAGCAGTGTCTCACTGGCTGCTCCCCTCAGATCTGCCTGTTCTGCTCCCCACTCTGTCTCGGGTGAATCCTCTCGCTGCCCCTCCACCTCTGGCCTGTACCCCTTTTCTGTGTGCATAAACAAATAAATCTTAAAAAAAAAAAAAAAAGATTTAGGTTTCAACTGGCACATTTCCTACCTACCAGATTCAATTAGTCTGAAACGAATCATATGGCCAAATCTAAAGTCAAGGAAGAAGAAATATCCTCTGCTCGTTAGTGGGGAGAACTGCAGAGACACACAGCAGTGTGTGGCACAGGCACGTGGAATACAGGCACTAAGTGAAGAACAGGGGCCAATGGCATGTTTTTATTTATTGAGCTTTTTGTCTTTTTTTTATTGATTTTAGGCACTCTTTATGGATCCTACACACTAAGCCTTTACCTGTTACATGCCCTGCAAATATCTTCTACTATCTGGTATCTTATTAACTTCACTGAAGATAGTTTTCATTTATAAGATTGTAGTTTTAACTTAGTCAAATTTATTGATCTTTTAATGGCATGTTTTTCAGGATCTTGCTTAAGAAATTCTCCCTTATCTCAGTGGCATAAATATATATTTTAAAAAGCTTTTCATTCTTAGAATTTGCTTTGCAGATGGTATTCTATTTTTTTCATTAGATAAACAAATTTTCTGGCATTATTTACCAAAAAGCCTGTCCTTTCTCCACTAATTTGTTAAAGCTACCTCTGTTATAGATCTAGTTTCCATATATTCATAGAGCTAGTTCTGAGCTCTCATTCAGTCAGTTGGTCTTTTTGCCTGTTTCTTTCTTTTTAAGATTTATTTATTTATGCATATAAGAGTTAGGGTGTAGGGCTCTCCCTGGTGGTATAACAGGTTAAAGCACTGCATTATGAAGCTCTCAGAAGCCACTTCAGCATGAGTTCAATCCCCAGCCAGGGAGCTGAACCACATGGCGCGGCAGACCTCTCCTGACCCGCCCGCTGCTCCCCTCAGCAGTGTATTTCAGTAGATCTGCCTGTTCTGCTCCCCACTCTGTCTTTGGTGAATCCTCTCATTACCCCTGCCCCTCTGGCCTGTACCCCAGTTCTGTAAGCATAAATAAATAATCTTAAAATAAAATTTAAAAAAAGAGGGTGTAGGCCAGAGGTGTGGAGCATGAGAAGATTCACCAAAGCTGAGTAGGGAACAGGACAGGCAGATCGACTGAAACACACTGCAAGGGGAGCAGCGGGCGAGACAGGAGAGGTCTGCTGTGCCATGTGGGTCAGCTCCCTGGCCAGGGGTTGACTCAGGCTGCAGTAGCTGTGGATTGCTTCACAGTGCTGAGACTTAACCACTTGCACCACTAGGGAGGGCCCCCAAAGGAACCACTTTGTGAAGGTACTGATCAAGGAAATGCAAAACAAATTCACAGTCAGATACTAGTTATCCCTGTGAGAATGGCCCTTATTATACAAAAAAAGACCAGAAACAAGAAGTGCTAGAGAGGGTGTGGAGAAAAGAGGAACCCTGGTACACCACTGGTGGGGATGCAGACAGACTCCTGAGGAAAGCAGTACAGAGGTTTCTCAAAATATTAACCACAGACCTACGATATGACCCAGTAATTTCACTCCTAAGTATCTACCCAAAGGATGCAAAAACACTTCACTCAAAGGGGTATTTGTAGTGCTGTGCTCACTGCGGCACTATTTTCAGTAGCCAAGTTACAGAAACAGCTTCAGTGTCCAAGAAGAGAGGAGTAGATACACACAATAATATACTACTCAGGTAATTAAAAAAAAGATGGACTCATTTGCAACAACATGGATGAAATTGGAGGGGATAATGCTAAGTGAAATAAGCTAGAAAGAAAAAAAAATAGAAAGAAAAGGACAGATACTTTATGGTTTCACTTATATGTGAACTATAGAGAAACTAAACAAAGGGTCAGATAAAACCAAACCAGTACCAAACCCTAGAAATTTGACTATAGAATTGAGGCTACCGGAGAGTGAGGAGGACAGAGAGCACCAATAAATTATGGGACAGGCTATGAGTAACCTGGCATGGGTCTCACATGCATCTGGGTTCCCAGCACTCTGGGGGATGTGCCTATAAATCATAGTGTTGTACCCCAATGCTAACTCAATGAAAGAAAAACAAACACAAAACCCAGAGGCATGCCACAACATGGGAGACAAAACACCATCAGACCAAGGGGCTGCCAGCAGAATGTTTCGGTGTCAGGTGTACTAGGTATCTTAGGGCTAACCCAATCCACATGGCTCACAAAGTCCAACGGCTGTACCTTGTACCACTCACCATACAACAGACACAAGTTCTAGGAATCTTTTGATTTTGGAGACAACTATTGATCTCCTTTGAATGTCCTATTCCAACCTATATGCATATACATGTGACTCATAAGTTGGCCAGTTTTAATTGTGGCCCAGAGCAAGAAGATTCTGCAAAGAAGGTTCAGGCTGCAGTAGTAAAGCCCTTAGGAGCTAGCAAGTTCAGCAGTATCAGATGTGGAGATACTATACAGAGCCTCTGGCAAGCTCTAGTAGGGGAATTACTACCCTTAGAATTGAGAGAAAATCCATGGCCTCTTGCATTAGTTGGAGTTCTCCAGAGAAACAGAACTCATAGATGCATTTACACACAGAAAGAGATTTATTTTTTTTTTAAAAGATTTATTTATTTATGCATACAAAACTGGGGTACAGGCAAGAGGGGCAGGGGTGGTGAAAGGATTCATCAGAGACAAAGTGGGGAGCAGGACAGGCAGATCAATGAAGTACACAGCTAAGGGTACCAGTGGGCAGGTCAGGAGAGGTCTGCTGCGCCATGTGGTCACCTCCGGGGCAGGCGGGCATCGAACTCATGCTGAAGTGGCTTTAGCTTCTTAGTGCTGTGCTTTAGCTTCTTAGTGCTGTGCTTTAGCTCACTGCGCCACCAGGGAGGGCCAGGAAGAGATTTATTTTAAGGAACTTTTTCATGTGATTAGGGAGACTAACAAATCTTAAGCTGTATGGTTGGCATATTGGAGACCCAGGAAAATTGATGGTATATTTTCAGTCAAAGCCTGTAGGCCCAAGAATCAGAAGAGCCAAGATTTCCATTTAAATCCAAAAGCAGGGAAAAAAATAAATTAATTAATTAATGTCTCAAGTCAAAGCAGTCAGGCAGGAGGAAAGACCCTTTTATTGGGCTGGGGGTGAAGGATCAAAAGGAGAATCTGCCTTTTCTTCTAGTTAGGCTATCAACTGACTAGATGAGGCCCACCCATATTAGGGACGGTCTCCTTTACTCAGTCTATTATTGTAACTACCAAAGGCACCCAGGATCATTCTCACACAAACACCCAGAACAGTGTTTGATCAAATCACTAGGCATACTGGAGGCCAGTCAAGTGACCTATAAAATTAACCATCACAACTCTCCAGTAGATAGTTATTCTGCTGAAAAGAACTTTAGAGTGTTGCAGCACTGTATTGCTTGATGCCTGACCACAGGGTGCCCAGCAGCCACATATGAGTTATCAACCATGGGTGTTGCTGAAGTACATGTCTGTACCCCATCATCAAGAGGAGTGTTATGTACAAGACTGGACCACACAGGTCTTGAATCTGCCTGGTTCCCATAGCACCTTCTCCTAGTACATTGCTGCCTGTCCCCCAGCTCACATACATGACCCCACGACTAGCCGAGACAGAAGTTAAGACCTGCTTTAGAGACAATGGTGCAGAGCATGCTGCCAGCCGCAGGAAGCGGCTCCCCACAT